TGAGATTGTCTATTGGTAGATTCATAGGAACGTTTAATTTTTGTAAAATATAAAATGATGTACTATGGTGTGAATGCTTTTGTTAGTTCAAATAAAATAGACAGTCTGAATAAGTACTCAGGCAGTAGGATTTATGATTTTTGAATTTAAACTTTTAGTATACATGTCTAGTCCATATGTTACACCAGAGCTTCTTGTCCTGTACTCAGCTGTCTGATGAATATTCCTGGTTTAAAAGCAAACTTTATTCTCCCTTTAAATGCCATCTGTCCCCGAAGGGTAGTTCTGGACTCTTGTTTCTCCTTACCTCTGTGAATAGTCAGGTGTCTGTGATTTTACTCTCTCTTAGAAACCTTTAGTGCATGCAGTTTAATCTCCTGCAGCCGGCATGAGCTTTCTCCTCAGCACTGTCTCACAGCAGCTGATGGTCAGTGCATGCCAGATTCTGCTTGCCAAGGAAGTCTTGCTGGTGTATGTATCTGCTCAAACATACTATGCCTCAATGGCAGTTTCTTTCTCTTATTATCTAAATGCCTGCCTTTCCTAAAGAGCTTTCTAAATATCCTATGAGGCCCCTCCCCCACTCACTGCCTGCCTTCTACCATCCTTTCTCCAGCCAAAGGAGGTGACTTAGCAGTTACTTCTGCCATCAGCATGGTAATACAAACCTGATTTGTGTGTTGCCTTGTCTCCTCATTACCCTGGTTGAATCTGGAAGCAGGATGCTGAAGTGTAATGAAGTGGGGAGCTGTGTGTTGAGGAGACCTAGGATTTGGCTGTGGAAGGGGATGGCTACAGTCTGGGAGCTTAAGATGATGAGGTCAGAAGGGGGCTCAGAGGAGGATAGCTTGCGTCTTCTCTAAGACAGTATAAGGCTGGACTCTAGTGGGATCACTGTAGAGTTCTCAGTGACAGAAAGATACCAGTTGCTGAAGAAGACTCAAGCATTCCTTACCTAACTTTGTGATCAAAGGTCAGTGTTTCTTACGAAATGTCACATGCACATGTTGGTAAAATGGGATGGACACATTAATACTTATGCTTTGTATCCGTGTCCTTTGTGACATTCACTTTTCAGAAAGTGAACACTCAAATATAATTTGAATATGTTAAGTTGCATATTTATGTGACTATAATGTTCATTTTTAGATATAATATGTTTATATATAATAAATATGAATAGACAAAATCCAGGTCTCAAATACATTTAGGCAAAAGAACTTTCATTCTTCCCAATATAGATGTGTACAGTCTTCCTTTTTTTTCCAGAAAATTATCACTGTCCAACATAGCTTCACAATCCTCCTTTGCGGTTCTTGAGGTTTCCACTGTAGGAGATGGGACACTGTAGGTGTGTCTCTCGGTGTTGTGTGCATGCCAAACCCATACTTCTCCAGACTTCTGGCTCTGTGTTTCTTTCTCACACTAAATGGCATGTGTATTTAAAGAAGCCTCGAGTACTTACTTCAGCCTTTTGTAAAGTGGAATTTAGACAGAACTATAAGTATTTTGTATAACAATTTGTCATGTGGGAAAAATCTATGCTGTCATTGGTTTTAGTGTAGTGTTGTGTCTCTTAGTTGTGACACGGAGTTGGAAGCATTTCAGTTTATTGTGATTATGAAAGTGTGAGTTAGTGTCAAACGTTTTACCAAGTCTCATGTAAACTTTGCTATAGAAAATATTAAAAGTTTATAGACTCAAGCAACATACTTTTCTTTGATACAGATTTGTAAATCTGTAGCTTTGGTATTCATGTGTAAATGAGTTTATCATTAAAGATATTGAATTTTCTTCAAAGAGGAGTTTTTTCGTTAACAGAGTCTGACATTTGACCCAGGCATTATATAAGTCAGTTTCCTATTTCCTAAGCAATACTGCAAGAGGTGCTTTTTAGAAGTATAGTTGATGCCCATGCTGTCTTTATGAAGATTAAAGGAGTTGACTAATAGCCAACAATGTCTCCCCAGAAGCAGAATTAAAGGCTCATAATAACTAACTTTAAGTAAGAGCCTACGTTTAGTTCATTTGAACTTTATAATCTTTATAATTCTGCAGATGGGCTGTAAGTTTCACTGTGATGCCGAAAACCTGGAACTTCTCTCTCGTGTTGGCTCTCATGTGGTTAAGTGTGCATAGTGAAGGGATCTTCTGAAGCAGTCCATGTGCCTATGGGAGAATGGAGGGTTACGGCAGGACTATTCACATCCTTTCAGCATTTGCCTGAAAGTGAATCTGGGTGAATTTGTCAAATTCTTATAGCCAACCTGAGACTCCCCAAAACAAATGACGACATGGGCAAACTTTTGTTGAGCGTGAGCAGTTCAAACTCTGAAATCCTAGTATCCAGCCTGGAGAGTAGTGAGCAGCTCTCGGGTGGAAGATGGTCACTTCAGTTGGGTAGATGTTGTGAATTCTATTTTCCTGTTGAGGAAATTGAGGCTTGTGGGGGCGAGAAATGTATGGAAGTCATAGAACTGGTGGGAAGTAAGTGGGGATTTGACTCCATATATTTCTAGGCCCAGAGTCTGTATTTGTGGTTACAGTAGGCAATTCTTTAACACAGTAAGGATATATCCTAATGTTTCCTGAGGGGCTTCTGTGTGTGCCTACACGTGTGTACTTATATGTGTCCACTCACCACCATCTTTAATCTTATCATCTCCTTTATTCACTGATGCTGTTTTTCGTTTCTTATGTGTCTAATGCTTTATTCATTTTTTCTTTAAGTGTCAACCCATAGAAGTTGATTTCTATTTTACTTTTTTGTTTGTGAAGTATTGTGATGGATATATGTGATGTCCTAGCGCTTGGAAAAGTAAGGCAGAGGGTCAGGAGCTCCAAGAACAGCCTGACTATATAGTTTTTAGACTCTATTAAGAGTCAGAACAGAGCAGCACAAATTGTTTGCTTATGAGTAATTGCTAATCCAGAGAATATACTTAATTCTTCTATGATGTTACATTATATATTTTTAACTTTTGCTTGATAATTTATAACACTAGTCAAGAAATCATATACCAACCATAATCTACATACTCAAAGATAACTTCAGTAAAAGTAAATTTAATAAAATAATATGTAGTCATTTAAGAAGACTGCAGGGGAGGAGGAAGCAGAAATGGACAGATAGAACTCAACAGGTATTGATTTTTAATATTTAATATTAGTTTCCCTAAAAATGCCAAGCCCAGAGAACATGGATTATACAGTCTATCCATGCCTGTGCACAACTATAGTCTGAGTAGACAAGACCTCCTGCCTCCATGCGAGGAATGGAGCTTACAGGATGGAAGCCAGTGTGGTTAGGAAAGGAAACCAGGTAGACACATGGAAACAGTGGTTTCTGCTGCTCGGTCCTGTTGTGTAAATATAGCCTGTTATCTCTGGGTAAGGGTTGTGTGCTGCATAGTTTCTGTTGTCAGTTTGATACAACCTAGTCACTTGGGAAGAGAGAACCTCGATTGAATTGCCCAGATCAAGTTGACCCGTGGCCGTATTTGTTAGAGATCATCTTGATTGATGGTAGATGAGGGAAGGCCCAACCCTCTGTGGGCAGCCCCATCTGTAGGCCGGTGGGTGTGGGCTACTTATACAAAACCTAGCTGAGGATGAACCAGTGGGAGAAGCAGAAGAGCAAGCCATAGGCAGTATTCCTCTATGGTCTTTGCTTTGGGTCTTGGCTGCGTTCTTGTTCTGATTCTCCTGAGTGATGGAATATGACCTACAAGTATAATGTATAGAAAAACTTTCTTCTCCTGAGTTGCTTTTGCCAGTGTTTTATCATAGGAATCAGAGAGAAGCCTAGAAGAGAGCTGATAAAAGATGCCACAGCAGCCTTCAGTATGTCTTGGCAGTCAGTGTTGTGACAAGTGGTCTCAGTTTCATTTGTCAGCTTGTCCCTCATGGATGTCTAGATCTGTAGAGCCTTCCCTCACTCACTGTGATCAGGATAGACAGTGTAGTAGCTGGATAGATCAGGATAGATCACTCATTGGGAGGATAGACAGTGTAGTAGCTGGACCTTGGGTCCATGTGTGGGGTTCCATTGTTCTTTCCTGGAACACAGAAACCTTTTGCTTCTCCCTAGCATGCCGTCTGCATGAACTTATCCTTATGGAGACTGGAATCTGGGAGCTCTGTCTGTGAGATGAGCAGTGCTCCCTTACTGTGTTTCTGAGTCAGTGATAGAAGGGATCTTGTCATTGGGGTTGTACCAGTTGTCCCTAAGTCGTTCCCTTTGTGATCGTTACTCTCTTGGTTTCAGTGCACACATTTAACCCTCCTTTCCCTCTCCCCAGCCTCAGTCCAGCCTGGCTAGAAGCTGAACGATGTACTTTTCTTGTTTGTGTGTTCTTATCATAGTTACCCATTTGTGACCAGCTGTGTGTAGGACAGCAGCTGCAGGGTAAGGAAGCTGAATGCTACACTTTTTTTTTTCTGAGTGAAAAAATAGAGCTATTTGCTAACACAGCACTTGAGGTGCCATTACAGAGTCTCACTGGCCCCTCACATCAATGCACCATGCAGCTGGAACATCAGTAATAGTGGAGCATGCTTTGGTGGCTCTTTAATGAGAGCAGTGACTATCACCAGTGTTAGGACATAGACACATACATACAACTTCTTGGTGATGGTTTGGATCCTCGTTGCCAGAGTTCATGGTGTAGTAAAATCTGAGGGCTCCTTTCAAAAGATGCTGTTGTTAATACTTTTTAGTGGTGGGTCATGTCCTGTTGCATTTCAGTAGATTGACAGGCAATTTATTTCATACGTAACAACAAACATTTTGTTCTTTCTGTGTGGGAATAAGATTGTGGGTTTTTTTTTTTTTTTTTTTTTTTTTTTTGGTTTTTCGAGACAGGGTTTCTCTTTATAGCCCTGGCTGTCCTGGAACTCACTCTGTAGACCAGGCTGGCCTCGAACTCAGAAATCCGCCTGCCTCTGCCTCCCAAGTGCTGGGATTAAAGGCGTGCGCCACCACCGCCCGGCTAGATTGTGGGTTTTTTGTTTGTTTGTTTGTTTGTTTGTTTTTGTTTGTTTGTTTTTTCGGGACAGGGTTTCTCTGTGTAGCCCTGGCTGTCCTGGAACTCACTCTGTAGACCAGGCTGGCCTTGAACTCAGAAATCCACCTGCCTCTGCCTCCCAAGTGCTGGGATTAAAGGCGTGCGCCACCACTGCCTGGCAAAATTGTGTTTAAATGAAGGTGTTGCAATACATTGGGTGAGAGACAACATCAGACTTCTTGCTGTACATAAAGTCAGTTGTTTGAATCAATGTGTTGTTTTTCCAAAAATGTACTTGTTCTCCATTAGGAAGGTGAATGTCTTTCCTATGACTTAACAATAATGTGGGAAAACACAAAGTACAATTTTTTGATAATTTGCGGGAACTGTTTGCTTCACAGTTTGAAAGATTTACTATCCTTATGTGGTTCCAAGACTGGAATTCTTTTTTCTCTTCTTCCCTTTCTTCCTTCTCTCTCTCTCTCTCTCTCTCTCTCTCCTTCCCTCCCTCCCTCTCTCTCTCCCTCTCTCCCTCCCTCCCCCCTCCCTCCCTCCCTTCCTCCTTCCCTTTCTTTTTCTCTTTTGTTTCTTTAAGATGTTTTTGTTTTATTTTTGGTTGGCTTTCTCAAAGAATAGAAATGAGAGGCAGATGGAAGGATGTTACATTCCAAGGATGTTAAAATTGTGTTTTCTAAATTCATAAGAGAAAGAGAAGGGGGTGGCGCAGGCATTATCTCTTCACTGGTCTGAGTCGTAGTGACAGGAGTGAAGGATGTGAAGAAGTTGGCTTTAGAGGTTGATGGGATTGTTTGGATCAGGGCATGTGCACTTCTGAGCCAGCAGTTTACAATTCACGTTTTATCCTTAAGTAAGAAGAAACTGGGAACAAGTTATTTCACTGTCTGAGGAGTGATTTGTGAAGCAGGTCTGTGTAATAATGTTATATATAGATAAATTGGCCCTTATCATTATTGTATCAAAGATTTAACATTCCATCACATACACACACACACACACACACACACACACACACACACACGAGAGCACATGCGCACACACGCACACCCAGGAGAATGCTAACAAGTGAGAGCTGTGTAACTAGGTATGAGATGTGAGGTATGGGCAGTAAACTGTTCCATTTTATTTTAGAGACATGGGACAGTTTCTATGCATAACTAATTTTTCTTTTCTCCCGCAGAACTGGCTAGATCCTGCAAAAGAAATAAAGAGACAGCTGAGAAGTGAGTATTTAAGAACCATACTTAAATTAGTCCATATTATTTCTGGGTCTAATAAAAACCTGTGGGGATAAATACTACAATTGTAACATAGAATGGGTGCTGGTTCTGTTTTGCATGCTGAAACCAACAGCAGTGTAAGACACTTGTGAAAGTGACTTTAACTGGATATGGTGCCAGTTGCTTGTAGTCCTAACACTCAAGAGGCCAAGGCAGGGATCCTGAACTCTAGGCTGCACAGTGCAACCCTACCTCAAACAACAACAGAACTCAGAGTCTTGTGACTACAGATGGCTCAGAGCCTTCTCTTTGAGGAAGCAATAGACCTATTCTTAAGTGTCTGTGTAGTCTACTTGTATGAGATAGCAGCCTGGCTTTTAAAAAATATATTGGGCTTTCTTGGGGTGACATTTATGTTGTATGTATATGTTGTATATATCTGAATGTATGTATGTGTGCACATGTGTGTGTGTGTGCACATGTGAGCACATGCCAGAAGTCAATCTTTGGTGTCTTCCTTGATTACTCTTCACCTTATTTTCTGAGATAACAATTTCTCACTTGAACCTGGAGCCCATCAATTTGACTAGATCGCAAGGCCATTGAACTTACCAATCTTCCTGGCTCTACAGTGTCTACCTCGCCTCTCTGGAGTTCAAGTGCATTCCCCTGCTGTACCCTGCTAAAGATGGAGTTCAGGCCTCATGCTTGTGCCCACTGAGCCCTCTCAGCAGCCTCAAATGGCACCTTTTGTTTGAGATGGTTTGCTCTGTCGTACCTAATACATTATTCATTTTAATTTGGAACTGTACTTTTATTTGTTTTTGTTTTGATGTTTGTTTGTTTTTGAGTTTTGTTTTTTGAGACAGGGTTTCTTGGTGGTCTAGCCCTGGCTGTCCTGGCACTTACTTTGTAGATCAGGCTAATTTGTGTTCATTTCTAGTTTTTAGAAACATTTTATTGTTAATGTCTAAGTGATACCAAAGTATACAAAACAAAGCCACCCAAACCTGGTATTTTGTAAATAACTTAGATTTTATAATTACAGACCTTCCCTGGCTGTTCACTTTTAATGTGAAATTTTATCCTCCGGATCCTTCTCAGTTGACTGAAGATATCACCAGGTAACTTGTACTTACATTTTGAATTGCATCTTTGCTTATTACTGTTACTTATTTCTGTGTTCTGTGCGTGTGGTTGTAACTGTAGGACTGGAAGAGCAATAAAAGGAAGTGTGGGATAAAATTTGCCTGCTTCTCAGTGTGTGCACCACATGCATGCCTAGGATCCACAGGAAGAAGAGGGAGATGAGTTCCAGGCAGGTCTGAGCCAGTGTGTAGGTCCTATGAAGCCAGTCTCTGTCCCCTGTAAGAGCAGTAAGTGCTGATAACAGCTGAGCCATCTCTCAGTTAACATATATTATTGTGTATGTCAGAGAGTATGTAGAGTGGATATGTGGAAATAAAAGGGTAACTTTGTAGAGTTTATTTCCTTCCACCTCTGTGGATTCTAGGGATTGAACTCAGGTTATTCAGTACGTGTCTTTGGGCTCCAAGTGCCTGTAGCTGCTGAGCCCCCACAGGATCCTTGAGCAGCTGTCAAAACAAACCAAACTTACATGTTCGCTCAAAACTGGATCTTGTTCCGAATAGCTTCAAGTATTGCCACTGTCAAGACTTCAATTTACTCTTCTTTGGTTCTTTTTTTATATTCAAGTAATAAAACACTTAAAGAAAAATATTGATGACAACTTTACGTCGTATGGTGACAGGCACTTACCTTCAGTGTTTCAGACTTTAATGCGAAAGTATTTTTTTAAATAGTTTACCCTGTGTATACCTGTGTGTGCGCACAAAAGCATGCAGAATGTAGAGGTCAGTAGTCACCCTCAAACGTTTCTCAGGAACTTTCTACCTCGGCTTTTTAGAAAAGATTTATTTTTGTTTATTTTATGTATATGAGTATTTTATCTGCATGTACACCTGCATGACAGAAGAGGGCATCAAATGCCATTACAGATGTTTGTGAGCCACCATGTGGTTGCTAGGAATTGAACTCAGGACCTTTGGAAGAGCAGCCAGTGCTCTTAACGGCTGAGCCATCTCTCTAACTGTACCTTGGCTTTTGCTGTTGTTTTGCTTTGCTTTTAACATTTTGTTTTGAAAATATGTGGGTATGTACATGTGAGTACAGGTCCCCCTAGAGACTAGAAGAGGAATCTGATTTGATTACAGGCAGTTATGAGCCACCTGATCTAGATGCGTGGAACTGACCTTCAGTCTTCTACAAGACAGTATGTGCTCTTAACCACTGAGCAATCTCTGCAGCCCCACCTTGCTCTTAGAGATGTGATTTGTCTCTGAGCTTGGGACTCGCTGTGTGGACTAGATGGGCTGGTGGGCAAGCCCCAGAGTCTCCTGTCCTGCTGCAGCACACACCACCTTACCTGGGTTTGCATGTGGGTGCTGGACCTCAAACTCAGCTGCTTCTGCTTGCACAGTCATCATTTTGCTATTTGAGTTCTCCCTGGCCCCTGTAAATTTGTCTTAAAAGCCTGTGCATGTGGCAGTAGTCCTAGAAACCATGAGAAAAAGCCATAGTGCAAGAAACCCCATAAACGTAGTCAATATGTTAAAGTCTTGTACTTTCTGGTATCTTTATAGAAGACTAAACTCTTTAGTAAGTAATCATCTGTTAAAGACTTTGTGTATCATGGTCGTCTTTGAGCACCTTCAATGATCTCAAAAGTAATATGTGACTACAAAGAATTTGTATGATCTTACCCAACACACTTACATTGAGTTACTCAAGGTTATTTATTATGAGGAAAAAATGTGACAAGTGTCAACAATCAATTCAAACTTTATGATGTCTCTCTATTTTGTTTGCACTTGCAAACACATTTATACATATGAAGGTCACTGCATTTTCTTTGTATTTTTTAGTTAATCATGTATCCAACAACTTTGCTGAAAATGTTTATCAGCTCTAGGAATTGTCTTTTGGAAATTTTGGCCCACTTATGCATACTACTGTATTATTTGCAAATAAAGATAATTTTATTTCCTCCTTAAAAAAAAAAAAAAGTCATACGGACTGATGACTCTTCTTTCTTACCCGCCCCAGCCCCACACAGTAAAAGAAACAGCAGTAGAATTTATGTAGCCAGTGCTAGTTGTTACATTTTCATCTCTCCTGAGATTATGTGGGCCATATGAACATAGTCTTAAGTTGCAAATAGAGGATTCAGTTTAGAAGCAAGAGCATTTGCTGATCTTGAGTTGACAGGGTCTTTTATAGTAACCAAGGAAGGCTGTGGACTGTTGAGTTCATGGACATCTTAGACCCCTTTAGACTGTGTGATAGGATGCCATAACGTTGTGAAGAGTTAGTGCAAATAATGATTTCTATGCAGTCTTTGATGATTACTCACATAGCCTGGGAAGACTGTAGTGTTTGTACTTTAGAAAACAAGATAGTCTTAGAGGAGAATCGACTGCGGATCCTGTACGTTTGGTGCGTCTGCTGGGCCGGTTTGGTTGTCAGTGTTTAATACTCACATGAACTTGAAATGATGGAGATTCATTGCTGAGAATGTCAGGTGTGGTTTGCTCTCACCTCCTTGCCTGATGCTCTGGCTGAGTACCAGTGCACTCCTGTGCTCACTGACCACCACTTCCATTTTAACCATGCTTTGATTCAATTAGCTCCAGCTAGCAAAGAATTAATAGTATTGTAACTGCACAGTGACTTTCTTGGGCACAGTCTTTGGTGTGTTGGCATGTAGGGCAAAGCTCCTCTGCAGAAGTGCCTTTTAACAATGAATGTCATGAACTTCGGTACAGTGCTCTCTGGTATATACACTCTTCCCTTTCCTTGCAGTAATTTCCTTGAGGAGTAATAATCCTATGGTAATTTTGACTTTATTACACAGACCTCTGCTTAATTTTCTCAGCGTGTAGCAGGACTAGCTCCTCAAGACCTGTAGAAATTCCAACTGAAATATTCATTGTAATTTGACATTATGGGGGTCAGCAGGCTTTCGGGGAGGCATGCAACACTATTCAGACTGAAGTCTCATACCATGTAAAGCTGAGTACCAGCACTCCCACTGAGGACAGACATTTTGGTAGCAATCATTTACTGTCAAAGAAAACAGCCGGGCCCTTCTGCCCCTGCCTGGTCCTCTGGGCTGGAGCAGACACAGAGTTGGTCTGCTCCTGTCCTGTTGAGAAACTGAATCCTGAGTCATCCAGGAGCCACTGCACTCAGAGCAGCTGAAACTGAATCCTGAGTCATCGAGGACCCACTGCACTCAGAGTAGAAGGATTTCCAGATCCAAGAGGTGGCCTGAGTCCCAGGAGTTCTTCCACCCAGGAGATTAGGAGCATAAGACCACAGAGACCTCTGGACCCTGAGGAGCTCTGCAATAAGCAAGATAACTGGAAATGCAGACTCCAGTTTTACACAGTGAGGGCAGGTACCACTAGAGTTAACCAGATGGCGAAAGGCAAGCGCAAGAACATAAGCAACGGAAACCAAAGTTTCTTGGCATCATCAGTGCCCAGTTCTCCCAATATAGCAAGCCCTGAACACCCCATCACACCTGAAAAGCAGGATTCAGAATTAAAATCACTTCTCATGATGATGATAGAGGATTATAAGAAGGAATTAAGTAACTCCCTTAAAGAAATACAGGAGAGTACAAGTAAACAGATAGAAGCCCTTAAAGAGGAATCACAGAAATCCCTTAAAGAAATGGAAGAAAAGACAAAGAAGGAATTAAACAAAAACATTCAGGATCTGAAACTAGAAATATAAACAATAAAGAAAGTTCAAAGGGAGACAACCATGGAGATAGAAAACCTAAGAAAGAGATCAGGAGTCACAGACGCAAGCATCACCAACCAAATACAAGAGATAGAAGAGAGAATCTCAAATGCAGAAGATACGGTGGAAAATATTGACACAGTTGTCAAAGAAAATGCAAAATGCAAAAAACTCCTAACTCAAAACATCCAGGAAATCCAGGACACAATGAGAAGACCAAACCTAAGGATAATAGGTATAGATGAGAATGAAGATTCCCAACTTAAAGGGCCAGTAAATATCTTCAACAAAATTATTGAGGAAAACTTCCCTAACCTAAAGAACAAGATGCCCATAAACATACAAGAAGCCTACAGAACACCAAATAGACTAGACCAGAAAAGAAATACCTCCCGTCACATAATAATCAAAACATCAGATGCACAAAACAAAGAAAAAATACTAAAAGCAGTAAGGGAAAAAGGTCAAGTAACATATAAAGGCAGACCTATAAGAATTACACCAGACTTTTCACCAGAGACTATAAAAGCCAGAAGAGCCTGGACTGACATCATACAGACACTAAGAGAAAACAATTGCCAGCCCAGATTACTATACCCAGCAAAACTCTCAATCACTATAGATGGTGAAACCAAGATATTCCATGACAAAACCAAATTTGCACAATATCTTCCCACAAACCCAGCACTTCAAAGGATAATTGATGGAAAATGCCAACACAAGGAGGGAAACTACAACCTAGAAAAAGCAAGTAAGTAATCTTCCAACAACCCCAAAAGAAGATACAAACATAACTTTACCTCTAATAACAAAAATAACAGGAAGCAACAATCATTTTTCCTTAATATCTCTTAACATCAATGGTCTCAATTCCCCAATAAAAAGATTCAGACTATCAGACTGGATACACAAACAAGACCCAGAATTTTGCTGCATACAAGAAACGCACCTCAGTGACAAAGACAGACACTACCTCAGAATAAAAGGGTGGAAAACAATTTTTCAAGCCAGTGGTCCCAAGAAACAAGCTGGAGTAGCCATTCTAATATCAAATAAAATCGACTTTCATCCAAAATTAATCAAAAAAGATAAGGAAGGACACTTCATACTCATCAAAGGAAAAATCTACCAAGGTGAACTCTCAATTCTGAACATCTATGCTCCAAATGCAAGGGCACCTACATACATAAAAGAAACTTTACTAAAGCTCAAAACACACATTACGCCTCACACAATAATAGTGGGGGATTTCAACACCCCACTGTCAGCAATGGACAGATCATGGAAACAGAAA